GCATCACGACTGCGCCTGCCCCGACCCCCAGCATCACGACTGCGCCTTCCTGCCCCGACCGCAATGCCCCAGCATCACGACTGCGCCTGCCCCGACCCCCAGCATCACGACTGCGTCTTCCTGCCCCGACCGCAATGCCCCAGCATCACGACTGTATTTATTTGATCAAGAAAGAGAGTTGTATACAATCCTGACGATGGGGCGCTCTTTCGGGGGAAGAAGCGAGGGCTCGTTTCCCGCCTCTCGTTCAGACTGCTGAAACGAAACCTATACGTATGTTCGCGCAGGTTACTCACTAAAAGGCGAAAGAACAGTGCGCCATATGAACTGAACGCGCGCCGTCAACGTTCGCGCGGGTCATGTGTGGCGCGAGACAGCGGGAAACGACCATCTTTTTCTTTTTGTTGTTTTTTGTTCTTACTTTTTTTTTTTTTTTTATGAAGTCCGCCGCAAGGACAAGCCGACCAGGAGGTGGTGCCTGCAAGTGCGGGTCGCAGGAGGATAAGAGCAAAGGTAGACGGATAGACTGAGGGCATAGTCGCACTAGGACCTTTCTACTTATTTCTGGAGGGAAATGCAGCCAGATACATCCTGCCGTGACTGCGGTCAGATACATTCAGAAGAGTAGTAGTGTGCTTGAGGGGAATAGATAGTAGAGCGGGGGGTGCGCCAGCTGACATACGGGGCTTAAGAGACACCATTAATATAAAAACAAGCAGACCCGCCGCAGCGCAGAAGAGGGGCGCGAGGAGAGGAAGGGAGGGAGGTGAGGAGAAGAGAAAGATGAAGAAAAAAGAGAGAGAGACACCAAACGACGGAGAAAATTCAACACTCCTGTTTTTCTCCGGGTCGCGGGGAAAAACGAGTACCCGTGCTGGGGTGGGGTTAAGTACTCATCTTGGGGCTTAATTTTCACCCCAGTCTACTTAACCAAAAGTGTTTGCCTCTTAACGTGGAGGTCACGTGTTCGATCCTCGGATCGGTGCGGACGGACAGATTGCTGTCTGGAGTAAGTTTCACTTCACTTCTCCCTTCCCCCCACGAGGCTCGATTCCGAAGTGCATTCAGCTCAAGAAGAAGAAAAAAAACAAAGCAAACCACCTCCGAAATTTCAAGGGAGAGAGAGATCCCTCACCAATGTCCACCTCGTTCTTCCTCGTCTTCTCCTTCCACGCTTTGCCTCCCCTCCTCCGCGTTTGTCTTGCGGTTTCCTCACCATCTCCCTCTATTTCTATCTCTCTCTCTCTCTCTCTTTCTGTCCCTCTGTCCACGTCATCTTTCTTCGTTGACCATCAGGACCATCGTGATTATCATAGCCGGCTCTCTGTATCCGTTTTCCTCTCTCCGTGTCGTGACGATGGAGGACCTTGTCTTCATTGTTCTGTTTGTTGGGCAGATGTATATGTATTCCCGCGTGTGACTGAAGTCGCTGCCAGTGATCTACGAAACGATGAAGGAAACAAAACGGAAAAAAAAAAGTCAGAAAAGCAACGAGTGAAGGGATATGGGGAGGGTTAATCAATACCGCCGGGATGGGGACACGGGAGGAAGTGAGGAAGGGGCAGAGCAGGCGCGATCAGGTCGCAGCACGGGTGCTGCCATCAAGCTCCTGCCTCCGTTCATATCTTCCTCCCCCTCCCCCGTTCTTCTCCATCCATGGTTTGTCCTCGTCTCACTTATGTCGTCCACCTCCATGTCCTTCCCTCGACATGTGTGTCCTCCCCCTCCTTGTGTGTATCCTCTTCGCCATTCGTTCTTCTTCAGATCGATGATGTGCTCCCATACCTTCAAGCCTTCTTTCTTTCTTCGGTCGCTCTTCCCGTCTCACAGAGAGAGAGAGACAGACAGACAGACAGACAGACAGCGAGAGAGACACAGAGAGAGAGAGAGACACAGAGAGAGAGAGAGACACAGAGAGAGAGAGAGAGAGAAAGAGAGAGAGAGAGAGAGAGAGAGAGAGAAGGGGGGCGGGGAGGGATAGAGCGCAGGGGTAACGAAGGCATGAACATAGTGACGGGATACAAGGTTAGGTAGAAGCCGAAGGCGGGGTAGTCTTGAGCAGATTGAGACGCCATGATACACACACAGAAAGAGAAACATGGAGAGAGAGAAAGAGAGAGAGAGAGAGAGAGAGGATAATCCACGGTCCATACTCTTTAAGTCCGCAGCAGGGACGCCGTCGCAGGGAGCGGATCGGCACGAGCACGTGGGCGATGCACATGCGCGCCCTGTGCGCTTTTTCCGCATGTCTGTCAAATGCCACGTGTCAAGTCCGCATGCATAGAGATCGCACCTGTAGACACTCTAGCGATGTTCCTCTCCGTCGAGCCTCCCTGCACCGTCCTTCCACCTCGATACTCGGTCATCGTCCCTTCCTCCTCCGTCACGCTTCCTACCTCTTCCTACTCTTTCTCCTCCTCCCTCCTTTCGTCGTCTCCGCCTCCCTCTTCCTCCTATTTCTCCTCGAAATCGTTGCGTCGCCCTCCCTCTTCGTCCTCTTTCTCCCCCTTCCTCCTATCGTCGCGTCCGCTCCCCTCTTCCTCTTTCTGCTCCTTGCTCCTCTTTGTTGCCTTTCCCTCCATCTTGGTCGGTCGCCTCCTTCTTCCTGCTCTTTCTCATCGTTCGCTCTGTGTGCGCTGGCAGTGCGTGTGCACGGTTCTCCATGTCGATCGCTCGCTGTGCGTCTGAGCTGGCAGAGTACCCTCCTCTGTGCCCGTGTGACTGTGTGCTCCATCTCGATCATTCGCTGTACGTGTGCACCAGAGTGAGAGAGAGAGACGGGGAGGGAGAGAGAAAAGAACACAGCGTCGCCGCCAACCGCGGATACCGTTCGTGGAGACAAAGTCACCACTGTCGCACAAATACCACCGCTCACTGACCGCCGTGCGCGAGACCACACCGCGAATGGTCGCCACCCATGCACGTACTAACGGAGCACCCATCTAATCTGGTCGCCACCCATGCACGCACTAACGGAGCACCCATCTAATCTAATCTAATAACGCTTTCCTTCCCAACCATCCATCCGCACGCTGCTACCGCGCACACACACCCTCCCCGAATACCACCCCACAATGACAGAGCCGGTTGTCATCTCCACTCCCGTCGATATGCACGCCCTGCCTGATGAATTCGTTGCCTCGTCGTGTCGCTCCCGTCGATCTGCACACCAGCGCATCCACACCCCCCGTCGACCGCAGCAGTTTCCCCGCGCGCCTTTCGCTGGTCCACGCCGCGGGCACACCTGTCCCTCCCGCAGACCCCGCAAGCGTGCTGGCGCCGCCACACAAGAAATGACACGGAGTGACCGACGCAACGCACCGGTTCACGCCTGGCGCTCCCCCCGCGAACCGGCCCGCGTCCTGGCACGTGTGGGGAGGGCCTCCCCCTCGCCGTCCCAGGCACCACCTGCGGACCTCCACAGCCGGTTTCTCCTGGGGCCGGGGGAGCGTCACGGGAAAGATAGAGTGAACTCCTTTTTTTTTTTTTTTTTTT